ACGAACCTCCGTCCATAGTTCTTCAGGCACCCTGTCTATCAGATCTAGTCCCTTAAATCTATTTGTCACTTCCACTGTATAGTCATAAGGGATTTGATTTAGGTCATACCTGAATGGTCTAGTGGTTTTCCCTACTTTCTTCAATTTCAGTCTGAATTTGGCAACAAGGAGGTCACGATCTGAGCCACAGTCAGCTCCTGGTCTTGTTTTTACTGATGGTATAGAGCTTCTCCATCTTTGACTGCAAAGAATATAATCAATCTGATTTCAGTATTGACCATCTGGTGATGTTCATGTATAGAGTCTTCTCTTGGGAGAGGGTGTTTGCTATGACCAGTGTGTTCTCTTGGCAAAACTCTCTATACCCTCTGCCTTGCTTCATTCTGTACACTAAGGCCAAATTTGCCTGTTACTCCAGGTATTTCTTGACTTCCTACTTTTGCATTCCAGTCCCCTTTAATGAACAGGACATCTTTTTTGGGTGTTAGAATGTAAAGTATAGCTGTGCCATTTCTAAATGGCAAATTAGCTGATATTAATTTGTTAAACCTTTGTATATAATATCTTCTATGGGTCAGGCATTTGTGCCAGGTGCAGTGGTAACACATATAAAAAGCATTGTCCCTTCTTTTCAGTAATTCATAGCCTATTAATGAAAGGAAGGCAGTTCATTAAACCACAAAATATTTTCCAGCATGATACCATGAAAGTGCAGAAATGGAACCTCTTTCGTTGATCTCTGCTTGCATGCTTAGCAGTCACTCATTTTTTTCTGGAATGGTTCGTGGACTTTTCTCTGAGAAGTACTCTTCTGCTATTTACATGTACTTTGACTGGAGCTGTGGGTATGTGACTCAAATCTGGCCAATCATAACATTATATATTTTGGGTTACTGCGATCAGCTCAAGGATAATTCCATGATCCAAACCAAGTCAATCTGCTACAGTGAGAAGCAATCTTGGGACACAGCATGGGACATTTTAGGAACAACAGTTATTTGGCTGTGGTTGGAGAACTGGGTCTGAGTTGGGAAGGTAAAGCTAAAATGGTAGGCAACAACAACTTATGAAGGTGCTTATAGCTATGCTGGAGAATTTGGACTTTTTCCTGAAGAGATAGGGAGCCATTAAGAGATTTTAAGCAGGGAGGTCACATGATCATGTTTATGCTTAGAAAGATTAATCTGGTAGGAATACAAATGATGAGATGGGGTAAGATGAAGACAAAAGCAAGAGAATGAACGAAGATGCCAGAATAGTTGTTCAAATCAGCAGTAATGAGAGACCTGAACTGCAGGAGTGGTAGTGGGGATAGGAAGGAGAGACATGATGGTGATGTTTCCCAGAAGACACACCAAAAAGGCATACCATGACAGCAGTACTTTCCTGGAGAAACTGGATTCTGACTGCATCTCTGGTTCAGTAGATGGTAGTCATTTTCAAAGAAGAAAAGCAAAATTTAAGTTTCATTTAAGACCATGTTTCTCAAAGTTTACTATATACACAAATCACCTGGGGATGTGTTAAAATGCCGATTTAGTTTTGGTAGGTCTGCGGTGGGACATAGGAGTCTGCATTTCTAACAAGCTCTCAGGAGATGATGGTATTGCTTGTCTGCAGACTACACTTTGAGTAGTAAAGATTTAGGATTTTTTAAGGTGTGAGTGGCCATTCAACTTAAAAGTTCCAGTTGGCAGTATATCCAGGCTCTAGATTTTAGAAAAGGGAGAGAGACTGGGGCTTGAGATATTTGGGAACCATCAACATTTAGGAGGTGATCTCAGAACATCAAGATAATAATACAGAATTAGCTTTTGAAAAAAAGGAAGGAAGTCCAAGGATAATCCAAGGAAGCTCAAGGTAACATCGTAATTTAAGGGGCAGTCGGAGGATGAGGCTTAAGAGCATGAAGTAGCAGATGAACCAAATTTTGCCAAGTTTTCAATGAAAAGCCTTTAATTCCCAAGTTTGTCATATAAATATCAATAATAGCTACCATTTATTGAGGATTGGATTCTGAATACTGTACTAAGGGCTTCAATTTTCTCCAAAACACAGGGCATAAGGGATGTCATTAAAATTTTTCTCTAATGACACCCCATAGTTGGGAGCCATTATGGGAGGTCCCGCCCGTGACAAGGTCATGAAGAAAATACCAGGCAGGCAAGGCCGTCCGGGATCCCATCCATGACGAGGTCATGAGGAAAATACCTGACAGGCAAGGTCGTCTAGGATAAGGGACCCTCCAGGTTGGCCTCGGCCTCTACCCTACCCTATATCCTCCCCCCTTTTCTGCTGTTGTTCTTGTTTGCCCTGCTGCGGATTCTTGTGTTGCCTGCCGAGAGCTCTCCTGCTCCTCTTTCACTGAATGAGGACCAACTTAAAACCCTAATTAATAAATCTCCTGGACGCTGGTACCCTATGAAGGGGCCAGGGATGAAGGAAATGCTTCAATTCAAACTTTTGCTGGCATTCTGGCTTGTTTGATAAATGTGTGCTCTCATTGCACAAAATGCTCATAATTGTTCTAAACATCCTAAGCACAGTGCGCTAACAAAAGAAACTATTAAGCATAGGCCCCTTTGCAGGGTGAGAAAAGCTCCACAAATATTATAGCCACAAATGTGCCTAATAGAAAATAGTTTAGATAGAGATTAGCTGGTGACTTCTTGCAGGTAATTAACTTTTAGACTAAGAGCCTGTTTTGTGCCATATCTGCTGTTTTTGCAATCCT